TGTGAATGTTTTCTCATTAATGTTATCAAAATGGTAATTGGGTAACTAAAACTAGTGGTTTTAGAGGAACTCAGGTATTCTTTTCCTGACATTGTTTTCAGAATAAAGAATATTTTTCATAATATTTTAAGATACAGGTTATCTGAAAGTAGAATTTTCTTTAGCATTGACTTTTATAGTTCTCATTCTAAAAATTCTTAAAATTTTCATAAAGTTTGTATTTTTAAATGAAAGTTCTAAAAGCTATTTTTTATTGGTACACAATCAGATTTTCTAAGTGAAGATTAATTTACTGAGGATGATATATTTTAATACTGTATTGCTCTGTTAATATGCTTAGCAATCAAATGAGAACAGATGATTTAAATTCATTGTTTGTGGACCTCATACATACAATCTGCCATCAGCTTTAATGTACATGATACTGCTTTTTGTATAGTGCCATGAACTATCTTAAAGTAACTATTAAAATAATCACATAGATTATAAACAGCTGGCTTCACTGATGATTTGAATAGTGTGATAAATGAGACCCACTCAAATTCTACAGAAGATTCCGCTTATAGAGCCTTCTCCAAAAAGTTTTGGAATCTTATGCTTGAGTTGTTACTTGAGATTAAAGCTTACACTCAAGAGGCTTCCAGAAGACGCCTTAGTGTAGTCTGTTTGCCTCTAAGTACTTCTTATACAGGGTGATAGAAAAGATAATGAGGCAGTTTCTCTATCCCCATGAACCTTTAAGACAGAATCAAATCTTTAACAGAAGTATGAAGGACTGGGACGCCTGGGTGGCTCAGTTGTTAAGCGTCTGCCTTCAGCTCAGGTCATGATCCCAGAATGCTGGGATTGAGCCCCACATCGGGGCTCCGTGCTTCTCCCTCTCCCTGCTGCTCCCCCTGCTGTGTGCACACATTCTCTGTCAAATTAATAAATAAAATCTTAAAAAAAAACTATGAAGGACTGATTATATCTAGAGTAGAAGTTTCTGCCCATTTTCTCTATTAGCATTAATCAGTTTGCACACAAGGAAAAGACAGTGGAAAGGAAAAGCTGGGAGGTAGAAAACAAATTTATAGTATTAAGACAAAGTCTAAACCAGCATATAGATAAATAAGGACAGTGACCAACCAGCTACAGATTAAGTCACTTCCATGCCTATACAGCCACCCAAACTGACAAGAGTATTAGAAAGCTGGGCACCTGGGTGGCTCAGTAGGTTAAACGGATGTCTTCAGCTCAGGTCATGATCCCAGAATCCTGGGATCAAGCCCTGTATCAGGCTCCCTGCTCAGCAGGAACACTTCTCCTGCTCCCTTTACTGTTTACCCCCACTGTGCTCTCTGGCTCTCTCCGTCAAATAAATAAATAAATTTTAAAAAGAAAAAAAGAATATTAGCCTATAACTATTTTTCCTACATAAATTTTGCCAAGTTATAAGTACAACTGTTGCTAATCAGTGATGATATATTTAACTCTATTACCTACTTTGAGAACAGTTACAAATACTGAAACAAGCTTACTTGACCTTAAATCACTTTGACTGTGATGAAGCCAAGAGCTATTTAGGTTTACAAGCAGGAGAAGACAGAGAAAGGCAGTTTGGGATTAGAATTTGAGTGTGAAAGATAGTTGTGCTGACTTCCTATTACCAATACAAGAGTACCATCTTACTACATGGGTAAGCCCTATTACAATACCTACTCTTCTTACCCTATGGCTATATGGATAGTATTATTTCTTAATATGATTTAATAAAAAAGGCCCATAATAGACAGTTGGGTTTTTGTTCTTAATAAACAAGAAAGCAGTTCACATACGAATTTAAAAGGTGTGGGGGAATGTAATAGGAGAGCTATATCATCCACCAACAACAGTGATGAACTGGAAGCATTTCTCTACTTACACTTCTTCACCTCAAAAATGGGAACAGGGATTCAAAAACCCATTTATTCTGTGAATCCAGATCACACCCTCTGAAAGACTGTTTCTATCAGCATCAAGAGCCAAAACCATGTGTTCTATAAAAGTAAAGTCAGTTTGAGAACTTCTATAGATAACTCATCCAAATGTGACAGAATTACCTCAATTAAGTGGCTTACACTAAACACCCATCTTACACTAGATATATTGAGACATTAGTTAAAAACATTCATGCAGGGGCGCCTGGGTGGCTCAGTGGGTTAAAGCCTCTGCCTTCGGCTCAGGTCATGATCCCAGGGTCCTGGGATCGAGCCCCGCATCGGGCTCTCTGCTCAGCAGGGAGTCTGCTTTCCCTTCTCTCTCTGCCTGCCTCTCTGCCCATTTGTGATCTCTGTCAAATAAATAAAATCTTTAAAACAAAAAAAATTCATGCACTACATTATGTAGTACATACACATCTAATAACCAAATGTAGTCAACAAGTGTGGCTAAACAAACTGTTGACTGTCAGCACAAGAAAGTCTTCCTAGTTTATCTGTGAAGTTATTTTTCACATGAGTTTTTTTTTTTTAAGCAACCAATTCAACTATTGAAAAGAACTTGGAAATTACAAGTGTGTAACATCTAATATATCAGTACTAAAACTTGTTATATATTTAAGTAGCTTAAAATTCTCAGCAGAAAGTTTTACAACTGTCAGTCCTCACATACATAAGCAGTTTATTAAATATGAGAACCTGAATGTATGTGGTATGTTAAAGCAAAAAATTATTGAAACCATTTGTGCACCTGATAGTTATTTCTTCCTATCTTAGAATAATAAAAAAAATCACTTCTATTTTATGTTCATTCAAATTTGCATTTAATTTCTATTTACATTCATTCAATCCGAAATCAAAATACTTAATACAGGAAACTAAATACAAGATGAAAAGCAGAAAAATGTGTTACCCTCATAGCACTCCTACTAAGGCAGCTGAAGAAGTTATTTACTCTGATAGATGCAAAGCCAACTTGGGATAGGAAAAGAAAATAGCTTAAAGAGCAAACACAGATGAACCCATCGTTCAGATGTTACTTCGGATAATCCACTGAAATAATACTTGTGCTGTAGTGATAAATTAAGAATCACACAAAAGTTTTTTATCGATCAGCAACAGACCACAGGTCATGGTGTAACATATACTTTTATGATTGTTTTGTCCAGCTTGCTGTGTCTACTCCTATGAAAAAAGGTAGATGTTTGGACACTGATATTTTTATTTGAGAAATTAACCATTTTCAAAGCCTCAAAAATCCATTCTTCATAAATTCAACATTTCTCATGGGAATAATCTTAAGATCTAACACTTGTAAGCTAGGAACCATATGACTGAGTAACCAAAATAGTTAGATCCTGTATTAAACACACAATCCAAGGCTCAGTATATTACTATTGAAGATACATCTTGTTTATAACCATTTGTTAAAGAATGTTGAATTTATGGAGTATCATACATGCATTCTTACCCCCCACCCCCCAATTATCTTCTATCTCAAAAAATAGTATGGAAAAATTCTTCTGGAAGGATTCAAATTAGGTGAGACCATAAAGGGGAAAAAGAAGTAACAATTTTCCTAAAAATCTGGTTCAAGTTCAGTAATTCTTTACATTGTTAATCACAGCTGGTTTATAAATCCCAGTTTATTCTGTAATGCTACAAACCTTATAAAATCAAAATTAGTAAACTTCAGTTCTCAGTGATTATATTTTAATTAAAAAACAACATGTATAAAGTAAAAAAATATCCTGTAATAGCTGATTTTAAAGAAAATAATCAAGTGATGAAAGAAAAGCACTTAATCTCTTTTATACACTTACCTGGAATAATCATAAAGAACCCTCTTAGAAACTTAAGACTAGTAATATTGACATCATATATTTTAAACTATGCTTGGATTTTTACAAATAAATATAGGGTAAGCCATATTGCATAGGTGTGTGCTTTCTGTCTGTGACACTAAAGTGGCACTTGACATGTTTTCACAGTCATAGTAGGGATATCCATTTATGAAACACAATTTCTCTGTAAACTTGCCACAGCATAGGAAATTAATTTCACTCAATGATAAGTTTGAAAAACTATTTGTATGGATGGTAGGTATGCAATTTATGCTTTTTATGCAGAAAAGTTGCAATGTGCGCCACTACTGCTGGCAGTACTAATTATGAAAACAGTTTATGGGGTGGTTAGAGCCAGCCAATCACAGTGCAAATATTACTTACTAGCAAATAGGACTGAGGAGGACTATTTTGGTGTAAAAACTTCTCTGGAATTTGGTTAGGCAGTCAACACTACAGATAGTAAACACATTTGAAAACAAGTATCAGAGTAGCACAAGCCATTTATAGTCTGAAATAAAGCCTGCACCTATCACCAGAGCTTTTGGGTTCTGTTTTTTCAGACATTATAAACTGTCAGAGAACAAAGATCTGTACTCCAAGTGCAATTTCTGCCCTTATCATTACTGTAGCTTCTAATTTACTAGCTACAGTTATAAAGTTATCAGTAGGCTGCTGCATAAAGGGAGAAAGGAGTCTAGAGGAAGTGATTAAAAAAAAAAAAAAAAAGGCTGTCTGTCCAAAGATGAATGGTAACCAATTCTTTCATTTATTGCCACAATTGAAAAGGTATATTTCCAATCCTCCTTCATGGTTCTATTCTGCCTAATGTCATAGGATTTCATCTCATCTCACTTGAATTGCCATTTAGATAAGCAAAGCTCTGCTCTTTTCTGACTGAATTCAACATGCATAAAGAATCTTATGGCTTGGATCCTATGGCTCAAAAAGGTTTGAAGAACATAGCAAGCAGCATCTATTTAAAAAAACTGTAGGGTTGCAAAATATTACAAATTGACTTTGCACACTCAGATTGAAGACATTATAAAAAACAAAAAGAGACGTTAAGACTCAACTGCAACTGCATGATCATCTATTATACCAGTATGAGCTGAAATGTATTTTTATAAAGCTCTGCAGATATTAAACCCTTTCACCAGCTAAAGTCATGGAAATGCTCTCTTTAAGGCAGGAAGTATTTAAGAAAGGTAAAGTTACCTTTATTTTTATTCTTTGTACCTGTATATCACTTATGTAGATTTTGTTACAATTTCAAAAACATAGTGTTTTGTTAACATGTTTCCTAAATTAAGCCACTAAGTTTTCTTATTCACTGTGGAAGACATTCATCAAAAGGCCATCAAATATTTTTACAATCAAAAAATGTAGCCCCAGTATAGGAGAAAGAAAAATACTTTTTTCCTTTTAAAACTGTTGAGGAAAAAAAACCTAAGGAAGGTAGACAGCAAAAACAGTTAAAAGTAAAACTTAAAATCTTACCAATTTGCTGTAAAGAGATTAGACACAGAGAGTGGAACATGACAACACCCTCTTTCCCTGGATCTCCCTCTCTCCCTCACTTTACTGCCCTCAGTATGCATTTTATCCTGACTCTTTTCCATCCTTCTTCAGCCATGGGCTGAAAACATTTGGCGTCTTGAACCAAATACTGGTATAAGAACAGGTGGCGCCATTTTTCCAGTGCAATGCAGGCCCAGGACAAGGATGAAATGTAGGACATACAATATATGCCCATTCCAAAGCTTCCAGTTAAGCTTAGCCCATAGCAGTACTGCAAGTAGAAATGATTAAATAATTTTTTTTTCTAGTATTACAGACAGGTATTGCAGCTGGGTTACTGAAAATAAACCCCAAGTCCACCCCAATCCCTCAAACGAGCCACAGCTGTGGTTAACAATGATTCATTTGCATTTTTATTATTTCACCAAGAGAAGAAACAGAAGTTGTCTGGCTTTCTTCACACCAACCAATAATTTTGCATTTTAAAGTTGGGATGTTTTCCATAATGAGCTGAATCAAAAATCTATTTGAAAAATATATATTTATATAAAAAAAAGATTCAGGTTGTTTGCACGTAAAACATCAATTGTTAAGTTTCTTTTGTCTTTGATTCCATGTTGCTGGAAAAAGTTTGAACAAGCTTGCATGCTAATTTGTCCTTAGTTGCAAGTATTACAGGCAATTTCATACTTTGCCTAATGAAAGGATAACCCTTCTTCGACACAATCAGAACTCAACAGTGATTCAGAAGCAACATCCTACCCTTAATACTGTCAGTTCGAGCCATCAACATCAAAATCCTTGATAAGGTTGAGAAGATGTCGCTAGGAATCAATTAATTGATGTGCCTAAGAGTTCCACAATACTATTTTGCTTAAGTTTTTTTTTTTTTTTGCACCATTGATTGATTTTTTAAAATCCATGTTTATTCTTCCTCTGTCCAAAGTGTTCAATGTAATGACACTAACTCTTCGAGACTGTCATTTTGAGTCTTCCTGTTTCACCTTACAGGATGCTCACACATCCTTTCCCCACCTTTTTTGCCTTAATTCATTAAAATCGTTGCTCTGTCATAGATTCATACGTAGGTGCTCTGGTCGTTTCGAGATCATGGGAAAAGCCTGTTTTTTGTATGGCCCGGAGTTCGGCTGTCGTATTGGAAGTGGTGCTGAAGCTTCCCCACTCATCGTCACATCCATCTGCTCTATTCCACTTGTTTCCATTGGATATTCCACAGGCGTCTGAGGATTTGCCGTGCTGGCTGAAGCACCTCTTCCCCAGAAATCCCCAGGAGAAAATTTGACTGGGCTTTAAGACAAGGAAGAGCTATCATTCATTTATCTCAAGGATTATCTCAACAAGAAGTAATTCCCTTAAATTTCAAGGAAGTGGGGTAATGTGATATTTATATTTAGTTTTATTTTTGTGTGAATTACTACAAAGGCCATCGTTCCCCTAGACTAATTGCTAGAGTTTCCTAACTGGTCTATTTACCTCTATACCTGCCTATGTAAAACCCTCAGTGATAACTTTTTTTTTTTAAATCATTTTACTCCCCACTTAAAACAGTTTCCCATAGTATTTAAGATAAAATACTCCTCCAAACCTTTCTCTTCATCACTAACCACATATCAGGAACATTGACCTTTCATTTCCAAGACCAAGTTTTTCCTCCCTTCTGGCTTTACCTGTAAAGGTAAAGGATGTTACCTGTAACATCCTATACTTCTATTTTTTGTATGGGTGGCTTTTTCTCTTCATTCATAGATGTTACTTCACCAGGGAGGCCTTTCTCTGACCACCATGAAAAGGAGCCCCCCTGTGATTCTTTGCTACCACCACACTCTTTATTTTTCTTCATATAGAAGAAATTTTTCTTCATATACTACTTCATATGATTACATAATTCCTGTATTTCCTCCTTTGGTTATTTTGACTCTCTTCTCACTAAACTGTAAGCGTTAGGACAAGGACACTTCTTGTGTTAATTATGTATCTCCATCATGCAACACAGTCCCTAGTATACAATAAACGTTGAATGAATGGGTAAGGAAGACAATTGCCAGTGCAGCAGCTTGCTTTCACAGGAGGGAAGGTAAACTACATAGCATACAATACAAGATGCAGACGCTGTGCTTATGTCAACCAAGGAGAATACAACAGATCTTTCTTTTATATAACCTGGCATAAATTTCTTAAAGCATTCTCCTCCCGGTTAAAAAAACAAACAAAAAAAAGAGATGAGAATAACAAAGTCTGAATACCTGACAGGTGTTCGTGGGCTGCCAATAAATCTTCGAGGTGATCGGATTTTTGGTTCAAAGGAAAATTTTTCTTTCACACTTTCAAGTACAGATGGAGCCACATATGTAAAACCCTAAAAGATAGTAATTGTTGACTCCAGAATGGCGTTTTGTCATATATATCAAGAAAATGTGGTTTCAGTCTCTGACACACCAAAATAACAGTGCACACCTAAAACCAGCACTCTGTTTCCTCCCATCTCCCCAATCTCATTTCACACCTGTTAGCTTCTTTCCAGCCATTTCTTGAGGCATGGATCTCAGGAAGGCAGAATTCTATCGAGTCCCATATGCCAGTAAACAGTATTCCACTTTGTTGAAGGAGTAGAACAAAATAGGAAAATGTAGGCTCCACATTAAGCTATTAAATACCAAGATGAATGCAAAGAAAATTCTACTGTTTCTAGCCACATGCACATGAGCAACTAAGATTATCACACCCCAAACAGTTTCTCATTATTAGGCCAAAGTAAAAACAGAATTCTCTAGGTTGGCATGTATGGTCTCTCTGATTTAATACCAATGATTGGATAGATTTGGTATTTTCTTTTTTCTTTTTTTTAGATTTGGTATTTTCTTGATGTATAAGGGTCAGCATTGTGAAAACCCTCAATTATAATAGGCAATTACGCAGTTTTGTTAGCTTTAGTTCTTTCTTGGACCTTGCTATCAAATCACCAGGTGTCATTTCTTTGCTGTCAATGTTTATCCCTTTAACAATCAGTCCTCCACCTAAACTTCCCTTCTAATTATTATTCTAGTCACCTATGAATAGGCATTTTGAGTTACAGTAAAAAGACTCAACAAGCCTCTGGGTGATGTCCTAAAGACTGAGGTGCAATTCTGTAGCACACATGCTTTGTGACAAGTGTATGTAGACTTCAGAAACCATTTCCCCACATAGTTTAACTACCAAGAGAACCAGTCTGTGCCTTAACCATCTTTAAATTTCCTTTAATTCTGTGATAGGAATTTAAATAATTATTGAACTGAGGACAATCTCCAGATAAGTGAGATGTTACTGTTTCTTACTAGTTTTTAAAGAGGGGCGCCTGGGTGGCTCAGTTGGTTAAGCGACTGCCTTCAGCTTAGGTCATGATCCCAGGGTCCTGGGATCGAGCCCCATATAGGGCTCCTTGCTCAGCAGGAAGCCTGCTTCTCCCACTGCCTCTATATTCTGCCTGCTTGTGCACTCTCTGTCAAATAAATAAGAACTCTTAAATATAAATAAATAAAAAATAAAGAGATTCACTTTATGTAACAAAATAAATGGTATAAAATGAGGTTTTTGTTGATCAAAATCTAAAAGCCCTCAAAAAATCTAAAAATCTAAAAGCTTTGCTTTTCTGAGGAGACAAGGTACAAATCAATACAAATACTTCTACAGTGAGAAATAGTTTATTTCCTACTACATATAAACCAATATATTTTGATGTCTAATATTCACAATTAACAGGTTAAAAATCCCCTACAAAGTTGCATGAAAATGTACCAAAAATCTGTAACTATTCCAAGAATAGAATAGTTACAGTGAATTCTTCTCCTACTGTTACAATGGTGTGACTTCCAATAGAGATACTGAGGCAAACATCATTTTAAGTCAGTGGCCCACGTATAAGGGAATCATATACTCCAAAGAACCATACAGTTAGTTCTACTCTAAATGCTGAAATGGAACACTGGATTATGGGAATCAATTTTCTAATTTAGCAAGTCAGAAAACTTAAAAAACCCAAGTTAACTTAATAAAAAATAGCATCTAAGGTTATCTATATCAATTGCAAAGCAAACAAACTGAATTTTCTTATTGAAAAGGGTCCATCCTAATACTTAAATTTCTCATGGCCACATGGAAATTCTTTCACTTACCAGAAAGACCTGGTTGGCACTTTCACTGAGAGTTGAGTCATCTGGGCTGTCAACAGGTGTCTGACGTGTAAACTTTGAATCAAACTGACTCACATCCTCTTCGGATTGCTTTGTGAAAAACAAAATTAGAAAACAATGAATAGTCTATATTATACATATCAATCAAATGCATGACTTGCATTAGAGAAGGCTCTAGTTAAAACTCTTCAGAGGGCTTGACTGTAATAAAATATCAAACAGTTTTAGTAGGAACAGACTGAAGAATAAACACAGGTAGAAAGTTTCTTTTTAAAGATTTTATATATTTATTTGAAAGAGAGAGAGGGAGGGTGCCTGTGTGGCTCAGACATTAGGCACCTGCCTTTGGCTTGGGTCATGATCCCAGGGTCCTGCAATCAAGCCCCACATCAGGCTCCTTGCTCCACGGGAAGCCTGTTCTCCCTCTCCCACTCCCCCTGCTTGCGTTCCCCTCTCACTAAGTCTCTCTCTGTCAAAAATAAATAAATAAAATCTTAAAAAAAAGAGAGAGCGAGCTAGAGAGAGCACAAATGGTGGGGATGGGCAGGGGGAGAGGGAGAAGCAGACTCCCCACTGAGCAGGGAGCCCAATATAAGGGCTCAATCCCAGGAGCCCAAGGTCATGACCTGAACCTAAAGCAGATGTTTAACCAACTGAACCACCCAGGTGGCCCTAAGCGGAAAGTTTCAAAGGTCAAATTACATCTTCAATTTTTAAGCGTATACTAAAGTAGATTTTAGTACACACTCATCATTTTTTTTTAAAAATCTGAATGTCAAAAAAAAATTTTTTTTGAATATCAATCTTCCCCACTTAAAAAATTTCAGTGTGCCTAGTCCACTGGATAAATTCCCTATTAGAGATAATTTGCTCAGCGGGCCACTGCACGTTTATAATAAACCTGAGAAACCACTGAGGCAGAGTTTTAACACAAAACATATTTGTAAAATGCTCTAAAATTTCTTCCTATAGCTTGGTTCATCCTACTACATTCTCAAGGAGCAAAAATGATGTTCTACTCTGCATGAGTACATTTTCTTATGAAAAACATCACCTAAATCTAACTACCACATCTGTTTAATTCCTTCTCTCTGGCACAATATCAGACTTTGTGGTCATGTCAAAAGAGCTAAGGAACCAACATGAAGAAGCACCTAGTGTCAAAAGATGATACAAACTAAGCATCAGTAAAAATTACTGCAGCAGATTAAAACACAAATATATTAAAACTCATAATTATACTTAAAAAGAATCATGGAATTCATTGGTCAATTTTGGAAGATGTTAAAGAACTAATTGATTATTTTGAAAACTGGGAAAGAAACATTTATCCTGCCTTTCCTGTATAAACAATGTAAGTTTCTCTTTAAGGAAAAATTCACTAATGAGGAATCAATAATAGTATTAGAATAAGACATTTTACAAACCCCTAATGAAATCCTGAAAGTAGGCTAGAGTTTCTGAATCTCAGCACTACTGACATTTTGGGCTTGATAACTGCTGCAGAGCCCTGTCCTTCATAAAGGAGGATGTTTAGCAGCATCTCTGGCCTCAACTCACTGCAAACCAGTAACATCCCCTCCCCCAAAAGTGACAACTTGTCTCCAAACCTTGCCAAACTGACCATAGCTAAGAATGACTGATGTTGGCAATGATCAATGGAAAAAAAAAAAAAAATACACACACACACACACACACACACACACACACACACACACACACATACATTATGCCTCCTGACCAAAATATACAATATCAAAAGTTTAATCTCAGGGCACCTGGGTGGCTCAGTGGGTTAAAGCCTCTGCCTTCGGCTCAGGTCATGATCTCAGAGTCCTGAGATCAAGCCCTGCATCAGGCTCTCTGCTCACCGGGGAGCCTGCTTCCCCACTCTCTCTGCCTGCCTGCCTACTTGTGATCTCTCTCTCCATCAAATAAATAATCAGATTAAGTATCTAAATCTAAATACTAGTTTTTGGAAATACAGGGAAGAGATGAGTATGATCAATGACACTATGGATTAAAATCACAAAATCAAAGTTCGAAACCCTATAGGATAAATGGTCCAGTTTCTTCAGTAAATACTCAGGAGAGGAATTGAGATGAGGGTATCTGCAGATGGAAAGCAACCTAAGAGATAAAATAACCAAACCGTACAGACCTTGACTGAATCCTTATTAGAACAAACCAATAGGGAGGAAAAGAAAACAAAAGAAACTGGGGAAATTGTCAGCTTTTTAGTTGTGATGATAACTAGCAGTTCTGTTTAAGTTTAAACAAGATGACCTGACAAGCTGGACAGTTGGTACATAAGGGTTAATTATCCTCCTTTATAATTATATATGTGAAAATTTTAAAGCAAGTCACCTTGTGCTCCAGGACCAAATTATCATCATCATTATCCTCCTCCTCCTCCACCTTCACCCCAAGAAAGAGAAAAAGAAACTCTATTTTCTCAAATTCTGAGGTGGAAGAAAGACAAGAACTAACACACTAACTCATTTACTAATAAATATATTGTTATGATTTGAGTTGTGTCCCCGTCAACATTCATATGTTGAAGTTCTCACCCAAATACCTCAGAACGGAACCTAATTTGAATGAGGGTCAGTGCAGATGAAATCAGTTAAGATGAGGCCATTTTGGAGTAGGGAAGATCCTAATTCAGTCCTGATAAAATGGGAAAATCTGGACACAGATCTGCACAAAAGGAGAATGCAAACATAAAGGTAGAGATCGGGTGATGTCGCCTATGGGCTCCAAGCTTAGCATGGCCAAAGCTGAGAAAGCCAAAGATCGCTAGCAAACCAGCAGAAGCTAGGAGAGAGGCACAGAGTGGAAAGGAGGGCTCTCATCCTTAATAATGAACCAAGTGTGTCAATACATTATCTTGGCATCTAGTCTCCAGAACTGTAATATAATAAACTTCTGCTGTGTAAGCCACCTAGTTGGTGGTACTTTATAACAGCAGGCCTAGCAAACTAATACACACATATGCTATATTTTGAAGAAAATTCCCAGAAAATCAAATTCAAAATAGGGCTGAATCAGAGGGTAACTACACTTAACCCGGTGAACATTTTGTTATGTATATAACTGTTAAATCACTATGCTGTATACCTGAAACTTACATATTATTATATGTCAACTAAACTTTATTTAGAAATAAAAAATAAGGGGCACCTGAGGGGCTCAGTCAGTTAAATATTTGCCTTCAGGGGTGCCTGGGTGGCTCAGTGGGTTGGGCCGCTGCCTTCGGCTCGGGTCATGGTCTCAGGGTCCTGGGATCGAGCCTCGCATCGGGCTCTCTGCTCCGCGAGGAGCCTGCATCCCCTCTCTCTCTGCCTGCTGCTCTGCCTACTTGTGATCTCTCTCTCTGTGTCAAATAAATAAATAAAATATTAAAAAAAAAAAATATTTGTCTTCAGCTCAGGTCCTGGGGTCCTGGATTTTATTTATTTGACAGAGAGAGCATTCACATGCACAAGCAGAGGTAGCAGCAGGCTCTCTGCTGAGCAGGGAGCTGGATCTGGGGCTCAGTCCCAGGACCCCGGGATCATGATCTGAGCCGAAAGCAGAGGCTTTAAAACCCACTGAGCCGGGGCGCCTGGGTGGCTCAGTGGGTTGAGCCTCTGCCTTCAGCTCAGGTCATGATCTCAGGGTTCTGGGATCGAGCCCCACATCGGGCTTTCTGCTCAGCAGAAAGCCTGCTTCCCCCTTTCTCTCTGACTGCCTTTCTGCCTACTTGTGATCTCTATCTGTCAAATAAGTAAATAAAATCTTTAAAAAAAAAACAAAAAACAAAAAAAAAAACCCACTGAGCCACCCAGGCGCCCCATATATATTTTTTTTTTTAAGATTTTTTAGTTTATTTGACAGACAAAGAGACAGCGAGGGAACACAAGCAGGGGGCGTGGGAAAGGGAGAAGCAGGCTTCCCATGGAGCTGGGAGCCGGATGCAGGGCCTGATCCCAGGACCCCAGAATCATGACCTGAGCCAAAGGCAGACAGCTTAATGACTGAGCCACTCAGGCGCCCCTGGGATTTTATTCTAAAGAAATACCAGGTCCTTCAAAGTATATGCTTTCATGTATACATACCAACAGAGGTTTAAAGGGGGGCTCCACCTTCCGAGCCAGCAATTCTTCCCAGTTAATATGCCTGAAGAATGGATGAGCCTAGAAAAAAAGAACAGGAAGAAAAGTCAAGGTGAATAGACTTCACTGGACTGACAAATTAACTGTCTGTTTGAAGTTACAAATCACAAAATAAGCTATACTTATTTTTTAGATTTTATTTATTTATTTGAGAGAGAGAAAACATGCACACAAGTGCGGGGAGGAGCAGAGGGGGAGAGAGAGAAAGAGAGAGAATCTCTCAAGAAGACTCCACGCTGAGCTTGGAGCCCAAAACAGGGTTTGATCCCAAGACCCTGCGATCATGACCTGAGCCAAAACCAAGAGTTGGATGCTTAATCAACTGAGCCACCCAGGTGCCCCCCAAAATAAGCTATACTTTAAACAACTACACACAACCCTCACAAATAAATAAAATTAGCACTATCTTCCCCTCAAACCACCAAAAAGGCCAATCCCTACTTGAACTTCTCCAGCATCCCCAGGACCAGCTCCAAGTCGAGAAGCAGCATTTCTTTTCAGCAGCTTTAAAGAGGGAAAACAAAACAAAACATTGATAAACCTTAGTCAAATTGATTATTTTTTATTTAGAGAATTTGCTTGTCTATATTGCTTCTCTATTTTGAGAAAATTTGCTTTATTTATTATAACTAAATATTGCTTGGGAATAAAAAGGAAAAAAGTATTTTTTTAAATTATTTATTTATTTAAGGAGATAGAACAGAGAGAGAAAGCACACACAAGCGGCAGGCAGCGGGGAGAGTGTAAGGGAGGGGCAGAGGGAGAGGGAGAAGCAGACTCCTTGCTGAGCAGGGAGCCCAACGCAGGGCTCAATTCCAGGACCTGGGATCATGACCTGAGCTGAGCCACCCAGGCACCCCAAGGAAAGAAAATCTTTAAAAAATGTGTACTTTACCTGCAAAAACTGTAGGTGTTTTGATTAATATATATCATTCTTTATTTAAAATGTATGTTCAGGGGTGCCTGGGTGGCTCAGTGGGTTAAACCTCTGCCTTCAGGTCAGGTCATGATCCCAGGGTCCTGGGATCAAGCCCCACATCGGGCTCTCTGTTCAGCAGGGAGCTTGCTTCCCCCTCCCTCTCTGACTGCCTCTCTGCCTACTTGTTATCTGTCAAATAAATAAATAAATCTTAAAAAATAAAATAAAATAAAATGTATGTTCAAATCTATTAAATTCCAGTAGTTGAGGGTTATCATTTCATGTCCTACCCCCCCCCAAAAAAAAGACTTATTTATTTATTTATTTATTTATTTATTTATTTGAGAGAGACAGAGTACAGAGAGGGAGAGGGAGAAGCAGACTCCTGCTGAGCAGGGAGCCTGACACAGTGCTTGATCCCAGGACCCCAAGATCATGACCCAAGCCAAAGGCAGACACTTAACCGACTGAGCCACCCAGGCACGCCTCGTGTCCTACCTTTTTAAGCAGATCTCTGGCTTCTTGTGTGAGGTAGGGAGGCAAATTAAGTTTACATTTGAGGATTTTGTCAATTGTTTTCTTTCTGTTCTCCCCAGTGAATGGGGGCTATGAGTAGAAAAGAGTGAGAAAAATTAGCACATAAAAAATAAAATCATCCATTTCCTGAATTAGTCAGTTATGCATAAAGATCAGATATGTATGCTGTGATATGGGCTGACTGCTAAAGATCTATAGTTTTTAAGCAATGTGACAGAAGAAATAGTAACATCTCAGAAGAAACTGGGTTTCCACTTTATCTCTGTGTGGTAATAGGTGAGCCCTGTGATTTTATGCTTTACTTTCTCTTTTTATAAAATAAGGGCTGTATCTATTTTATACCTATTTCACAGGACTGACATGACAGATCATTTAAACAAAAATGTTTTTAAAAGTACAGGGCCCATACTACTACCAATAAAGCATATTAGTGTTAATTTTTTTTTTAATAACTCCATCAGTAACATTTTTAAAAAGCACAGGAAAGGTCTCTTGCCATAATGATTTAATAACTACTCAGCACAGACCATAATACATGCAGCTTTTAACTGTGCACCTACTGCTCCAGTCAGCATGTCATACATTAATGCTCCCAAACTCCACCAATCCACAGCACGATTGTGGCCACTTCTCATCAAGATTTCAGGGGCCCTACAATGAGAAAAATAATACACCTAAAAAATTCACCCATTTGCATATCATCTGAATTAGAAGTTTAAAAACAATATACGGAGCCAATGGTCCTACATAAACCAGGTAAAAGTTAGCTATCACCCCCTCAAACCAGTTATATTTCTTGCAACATGCAGCTCACATGTATTCTATTGTTCCACAAAATGTGTGTGTGACTGTTCCATCGTGAATAGATTCTTTGCATAGTCCAAAGTCTGTTAGTTTCACATGACCTACAATGAAAGATCACAGCATGGTTATTCTGAGAATTCTAAGCATGTGCAGTGTTTGAATGTATCATACAAGACAATAATCTATTCTTTCATTTAACATTTTCTGCCTTAAATATTTGTTGAAGATACAAACAACTAGCAAGGTGTCATCCATAATATGGAATGCTAACTTTTTAAAGCTAACACAGTCATTTTTGGCCAATGATATAATATAAAGGGAAAATAGAGAAAAAAGTAAAACAGTTTTTCCAAAGCTCTATCTTTACCTATACCTAGAATCCTCTACCATCCTGAGAAAGCAAGCCTTCAAGAAAAATTCTCTAAAGTCTGGTTTAAGGGGCACCTGGATGGCTCAGTGGGTTAAAGCCTCTGGCTTCAGCTCAGGTCATGATCCCGGTGTCCTGGGATGGACCCCAGCATCAGGCTCTCTGCTCAGCAGGGAGCCTGCTTCCTCCTCTCTCTCTCTGCCCGCCTCTCTGCCTACTTGTGATCTCTATCAAATAAATAAATAAAATCTTAAAAAAAAAAAAAAGTCTGGTTTAAGTACACAAACCCTTATAAAAATATGTTGCATCATTTAAAAGTCTGACACTATACTTGAAATATATAACTTTTTACCACAGTGAACTGTGACTGGACAGTTTTTTAAATGGTCTCAGAAAATCACTCTAACAAGTTGGCTTATTCTGCCAATACTGCCAATTCAGAAAAAGAAATGAAATTGCTATGGCAAGGGACTGTCATCTCTAATCCAAAAAGTAAAAAACTCACCACCTTACACAAAGAACATTGCAGTTCAAGCTTAGCTTTACTGAAATGTTATTAGATATAGAGTGGTTCAACCACCCCAGGAACCCTACTATTCCAGGTTTATTTCAGAGAAAAGAAAAGGTAAAGGCTTACTGATACTCTGTCATACAAAAAAACATGACCTTTATTTTCACAGACCACCTGACATACTCAGCATTATGGATCAAAGAAGTTAACTAGTCACTTCCCTATTCTATCCTTTGCCTTAGAATTCAGAGTCAGAATCCAAGTGTGGGGGGATGGGAGTGGAACTGGAAGGGACAGAGATAAATAGATTCCCATGATGTACTTGGTTAAGTAGCATTTCTCCTAAAAAAAAAAAAAAGAAAAGAAAAAAGAAAAGAAAAAGGGAAAACGAGAAAAAAAGCACAATTTGAAACATATTCATATTAGCATCAGTTGTCCACACCATTTCCTGTCCAAGAATTTAAAACCCTTAACTACCTCGTGTATCATTTTGTAGACACTGAAGGCACCCCGACAGCACCCCGACAGCCTGGCTGGCTGGTTGCTCCTCTGGGGTATGAGTGACCTGAGAAGTCTACCGAGCCCAGATTACTCTTGCATAAATCAAACTGTCTCTAGCAGCTTGCAGTTGTAATCAAGACTCAGTCTGCTCTACGTACAGCTGCACAGAGTATGGGTCTTTGATTTTTATGTTTGTTGTTATGAACACCAAGAATAAACTAATGCCTACTCAACATTTTCTTTCCAAGGCTACATCAAATATTGTGGTTCAATTCTAATCCTTTTTTACAGCATTAATAAAATTTATCATAAAAAGTACTGCTTCTAATATTTATGCATTTTTTTCATTACGGAAAACTCAATCTATAGGGTTAAGATCTACTTTCCAATTAAAGGGTCAAAACAAAACTGAAGATGGGACTGGCTTTTGGCTCACCACATGTTATGTAAAGATTTCAAAAGAATGATAAGCTATAAAGAGCAAGGATTAAACCCGAAAACACAGTTAAGTGGTCAGTTATTCCTAACTTCCTCTAATCTCATCAATCACAATTATCTAAATACTTAAATCTCAGCAAGCATTATGATGCCATAAATTCTGAGGGAGGAGCGTATAACAGAAGTTACATGACTATGGGGCTTTGAAAATGACCATGACCTGGGTGGGAGGATTTTAAGATGATTATTTACTATAGAATTGTTTACGGTATATCTCCACCTTGGTGATTAAGCATGATATTTTCCGGCTTCAGGTCTCTGTAGATGATCCCCTTTTGATGCAAATGCCCCAAAGCCATGGAGATTTCTGCCAAGTAAAAGCTGGAAACAAAAGTGATTTAATAAAATTAAAAAGAGTAATATACTCAAAGCAGTTTATGTATGGAGCAAAATTCCTTGAAAGAAATAGACATGCACCAAAGACCAAATTAGTGGGGATGGGGGCGGGGATGGGGGAAAGAGATGGCATAGGATGCTGCCAAAAGGCATGGTGACATTTATGTTTCACTTATTTAGTGAAACTATAAAATGTTTTATTTCTTTAGAACATACTACTAATTGCAAAAAAGTCCAGAATATGCCAAACTGTCACTGGTTTTTGTTCTGTTCCTAATAGGAATTAGGACAATAGTCATTCAGATCAAAGCAAATTTCTCCCACCCACCCCCAATTTTAAAATCCCATAGGACACAGGAACTTTGTTATTCTCAGAGATCAAGTCTTAGTTTTGAAAGATACCTTATAAATAATCTGACCCTTAGAAGCCCACTCATCCCTTAATACAGCTGCATATTTATATACAGTTCATGCCCACAGTATCTGCCCTCCCTCCTGCCAGCCAGCCCACAACTATAAACTGTGTGACACTCAAATTTATCTACCTCAAAAGAATAAAGGGCTGAGTCAACCCTGTCTGGATTCGAAAAGCACAAGGCACTGCAATACTGGCTGCATAACAATGTTGCAATCCTGCAGATTACTCCAGGATGGAGAGGGTGTGTCCTAGAGGACTGAGGCAGTTTCACAGCCAGCAGGACCACAAATACAGCCTCCAACACGGCTCAGAGAGCCTCCTCCAAAAAAGGGTACTTCATCCCTAAGGCTCTTAAATGCAGCTTCTGTGTTAGAAAAGGCCTGAAATTAAACAATGGAATGCAGTTTGGTAATTAAGGTAGAAAAAAACATTTAAGTGTTTTCTATTCAATTAATGTGTAGGATAAACTGATTTATTGTTACCCAATACTGTCATCTCACAAAAGGATGTGTATATTTTTAATCTGAAGCAGATGCCATCTTAAGAAATATAAGGGTAGATCCCATCCTGGCCATAGAATCAATCCACAGATGATGTGTGCCGGCTTATCACCTCCCTAAGACTGCACCTTGGGAACTGGAAAGTCTAAAAAAAAAGAGGAGATGATTTCTGATACTTTCTATTGTTCCAGACATAAAGTTTCACCGGAAAACCACACTCACCCACAGCCAAGGCAGGCAGCTTACCAATTCAAGGAAAGAAAGCCCCAGTGAGAATGGTTCTGTTAGGAACTGGCGTGAAGAGCGTTCCACCCAAGGCCTGGGGGCAAAGGAATGATGTGACCTCCAAAAGCTGCCCCATCCCAAAGATACTTCTCCCCCTTGAAGTCCTGAGTGACTGACTGGCTCCAGAACAATTTACGGAATCATTTGGCTGCCCACAGTGGGAAAAGGGCTTTGCTTTTAATTATATGAATCATTACCTGAATCCATGCAACTGCAAAAATTTCACTTACCAGGCTGTGTCTTCCATAAATATTCCCTCTCTTTCTAACTGCATAAATAATTCTCCTCCTGTGAAGAAAAGGAAAAGGCCTTAGAAATGAAACAATCTTCATTTCCAACCCATTTCTAATGAGAAGGTTGTGCTTCCTCTTTTAATTATAGTTAAAAGATATCAGTTCCTTAAAACTAAAAAACAGATCCTAAAAACTATAGGTTTAAAACTAAGTCTTCAGGATTCTATTTTTGCAGTGTTCTTATTCTTATGTGAAAACTATGTTTTGGAATTCTAGGTTTTACATCTTTAAACGTCAAAATAGTTAAAAGATTCCAGACCTGAGGTTAAAAAAGTAATCTTGGTTAAAACTTCTCTCACATTTTATCCTAAGCAGAAAAATGTTAGTATATAATTAAGCCACCCTTACAATCAGTGAATGCCCTTATTCCGTATTTTCAGATCTCTTAATCTAGATGAATCTAGCAGCAGCTTTATTAAAAGCAAGGCATTGTTTTGAATATCAAGATAATAACGACTTATATCCCATTGAATAATCTTAGAATACATGAGCCCGCAATAATGTAAATCAATGAAGAGATCAATAAATTAGGTTTTAAAATGGGAGAGAAGGAAAAGCTCTTTGTTACAGCAGAATGCCAAATAAATGAATGAGGCATGATGGAATAAGAAAAATCACTTGGCAAACATTACAGTTAATTGTTTCAAGCAAGAATCAATGAATGCTAAAACTGTATGTGAAAGCTTGATGAGAGACAAGATATTTCGATAATCCCAAAGTATCTCAAGATACTTATTCATTACAAAGGGTAAACTTCACCAGGGGAAAAACTGGCCAACACTACCTTATAAATGTGATCAAAGTGAACATCAACAGCAATGGAACAAAGATATAACATCATGTACCTCCTGATCTGACAGAAGACACAATGTCACTTCGATGGTCCTCCCCAAATGCATAACCTGAATCTAATCTTGAGGAAATATCAGATAAGCCCAAATTGGTGCATTCTACAAAATAACTGGACTATATTCTTCAAAAATGTTAAGGTCACAAAAGATAAAGACTGAGGAACTGTTTAGGTTAAAGGGAACTGAGAGATATTACTATATCAATGTTAATTTCCAGTTTTGATAACTTTAGTAGAGTTAAGATACTGTCATTAATTTTAGAAAATATAAACTGGAGCATTTAGGGGTAATGGGAAATCATGTCTGAAACACTCGCTTAAGCAATCCAGAAAAAAAAAGTGTGTTTATACATATACATGTATATATATATATACATACACACACACACATATATATATACACACACATATATATGTATACATATACAGAAGGAGAAAAAAGAAGGATGAAACAAAACAACTGTAAAATGAAAACACTTGGGGAATCTAGGTGAAGGATATGTGGGAAGTCTTTGTACTATTTATGCAACTTTTCTGTATAAATCTGAAATTGTCAAAATAAAGTTACTCAAAAAACGGCAACAACAGTCACAAAGAAGTTGCTAAATTCTGTATCTTTCTGTTCCACGTTATAGGCCACTGTGGAACCTCTTTTTCAGAAAACTCAGTTATCTTGGCTGGAAATAGATACCTGTGATTTAGAAATGATAAGCAACAAGGTTTGAGGAGGTAGTAATCCCTGGAAATTGTGGATGTCTTCCTATGTAAACTGCATAGTCTAACAAAAAAGCTACATTCAACCAAAAAACTCTGTTTAGAGATGCAATTTTGAAAATACTCAATATCTTAAATACTCTCAGTAAGTTTTCCATTTGAGTTTAGAAATGCTTTGATAGTTCATTGGAATTATAGTATCTTACCCCAGCACAGTCAATGTGATGGCTCTGTATCAATTAGGTGTTTGTTATTTTAAGTATGAGTACAAAGGGATTAGGATTAAGATAAAATTTTACAGATGGGGAAAAAAACCTAACCTTTAAAGTTCTTCATATTTGTCTGCAAAAAGAAACACATAGTCACATCTAAATTCCTTATGTCAATGTATTCGTCAATTTTAAGAACTATTTAATCACATTGGGGAAAAAGCATTTTTCCATTGGAAAATAATGTTTAACCCAGTTTCTGGAGCAAATGCAAATAATTACACCAAACTGAGTGTACTGACCGCTGAGATACTCAAGGATGAGGTAGAGTTTTCCACCAGTCTGAAAGGCATAAATTAAATCCACAATGAAGGGATGCTTTACTTCCTCCAGAATATTCCGTTCTGCTTTTGTATGAGCTGTATCTTTAGCATTTCTTACTATCATTGCCTAAAGGAAAAGAGATGATCTATAAGAACAAAACAGTAGACATTTTTATTCTATAGTAACTGGAAATTCTATTTTGTGCTCTTCTTGCCAATAGTTTAATATTTAATATAATTAATTTAATTATAGTTCCCACCAGAGACTGAGATAGGAGTAATGGAAGACATTCACTTCTTATATATATCTGCACTGTTTGGATTTTTTGCACCGAACATGTAAATAACAACCTAAAGATACCTTTTTAAAAAATGTAAACAGATGAAGTTTATTCATATGTTCACTAATTATTCTATGTCTACTATGCTCCAGGCTCTATAATAAGAAAGAAGAACGAACAGAAGTCTCTAGCTATTAGGAGTCCAAAGTCTCAGGGAAGAGAGAGAAGTCAATGCAGGTAAACACAAGGTGCTATGGGAGAACAGAGGAATTACGGCTGACATGGCAAGAAGTGTTCTGGGAGGTGGCAATACCTAAACTGTATGATGAAAAATTATTAAAATGAAACACAGAGGATAAAAAAAGCATTTCCAGTGCAAAATAGGCTTGACAGGACATGTCTAGGTAATCTATAAGTAGTTCAGTACGGTTACAAGTGACTAGACATTAGGCTGGTGTTGTAGGTGGAGACCAGGAAATGGAAGGCCTAGTACCTAGACAAAAGTGCTTGAATCTTATCTCAGAGGCAGAGGAAAAATGTTGAGGTTCTGAAAATGAGTAATCTTTGGCTGTCAGACAGTTTTAGTAGTAGTTCGGAGTTTTAGGGAAGAAATGAGACCAGCTGGGAGGCTAATACAGTAAACTAAATTAAGCAAGACCTGTACCTAAAAAAATGAAGGTGGGGGGCACCTGGGTGGTTCAGTTGGTTAAACGTCCAATTCTTGATTTTGGCGGCTCTGGTCGTGATCTCAGGGTGGTTAGACTGAGCCCCACATTGGGCTCCACGTTGGTCATGGAGCCTACTTAAGATTCTCTCCCTCTACCCCACCTCTCTTAAAAAGAAAGAAAGAAAGAAAGAAAGAAAGAAAGAAAGAAAGAAAGAAAGAAAGAAAGGGAAAAGGAAGGTGGGAATAAAGAAAAAGGTATCATCAGCACTTGCTGACTAGGTTGAGAAGAAATGATGATACCATGGTTTCTGCATAATTAATAGGACAATGGTTATCATTCAATAATAGGAAATGAAAGTCAAAAGAGTTTTGGGAAAATGATGCACTATTTTGGATATGTTAGGTCTAAATTCTAGGACTAAGTTCTGGTACATCTCCAGTAACATGAGAAAGCATATACACAAGAATAGTAGTTGCAATATTATTCGTAAAAGTGCAATATTAAAAACAACTTAAATGGCCATGTATAGAATACTAGATAAAAACCTATGGACTGGGCACCTGGGTGGCTCAGTGGGTTAAAGCCTCTGCCTTCAGCTCAGGTCGTGATCCCAGGGTCCTGGGATCGAGTCCCGCATCTGGCTCTCTGCTCAGAGGGGAGCCTGCTTCCCTTCCTCTCTCTCTGCCTGCCTCTCTGCCACTTTGTAATATCTGTCTGTCAAATCAATAAATAAAATCTAAAAAAAAAACAAAAACAAAAACCTATGGACTATCTACCTAATGTGTAAAAAAAGCTTTAAAAAGAATGGGGAATTTCTCTGTAAAACCAAGGTACAAAAGAGCATACATGGCATAACAGTATTATAGTATACCACCTTTTGTGTCAGAAAGGGGAGATAAAAATATGTATGTGTATCTCCTTATATCTTCAATAAGATAACTAAGATAAACCAAAAGCTAATGACAGTGGAAAGGTAAAAAAAGTAATAGGACTAGACTTCTGAGAACACCTTCTGAGTAAAGCCTCAACGCTTTTAGCTTACCTAAAGTTTTTTTTTTCTGTTACCTAAATCAAATATTATTGTGATTATAAAATGGGGGTTTTTGAATTCTGAACCATGCTAATGTTTTATATATTCCAAAAATAAAATTAAATCAACAAGGATGGGTGAGGGAAATAAAACTGTGAATACAACAGAAATACATAAATGCAACTGAATAGGGGCGCCTGGGTGGCTCAGTGGGTTAAAGCCTCTGCCTTTGGCTCGGGTCATCATCTCAGGGTCCTGGAATCGAGCCCCATATCGTGCTCTCTGCTCAGTGGGGAGCCTGCTTCCACCTATCTCTCTGCCTGTCTCTGTGCCTACTTGTGATCTGTCTGTCAGATCACAAGTAAAAATAAATTTACTTATAAATTTCTTATAAATAAATAAATCTTTAATTTAAAAAAATTAGTAAATAGAATCACATAAGTAAACAAAACAGAGTTTTCTTAGCTTCAATGTAAGAGAGGTAAATTAAGGATGAATTAAGTAAAGACCACTGAATTCAGACATTAGGAGATTGGTGGTGACAAGAGTTTCATTGAAATAGTAGAGTCATTAAGTCAAAATAGAGTGAATGAAAAAAATAATAAAACATGACTTCTCAAGAAATTCAGCTAAGAAGGCAAAGAGGGTAGAAGCTATTGAAAGACTTTGTATGAAAGAAGGATCTCTTTTACTAAATATGGCAAAAGCATGAATATACGTAAACAAAAAAAGAAGTCAGGACAGAGGATGGAAAAACAGAAAGAAGTGACAAAGACCCCTAACAGGCAGAAAGGGATGGGATCCAAAAATAAGCAGAGGGCTTAACCTTGGAAAGGAGGAGAAATACATCTCCTACTAAACACTGGAGAGAAGGAAGTAAAGACAAGTAAAAATGCAGATTAATATGGTATGAGGGGTAGGGATTAGAACAGGAAATGGAAGGAAATCACATGTGACAGCCTCAAATAGAAAGAGAGGCAGTGTACTAAAGAGTTAAGAGGGACTGATAGCAGTTATAGAAAATGAAAGAAGTTGTCTGGGGACATGGGGAAAAAAAGTTGGTGGGGCGCCTGGGTGGCTCAGTCAGTTAAGTGTCTGCCTTCGGCTCAGGTCATGATTCCAGGGTCCTGGGATCGAGCCCCACATCGAGCAGGGAGCCTGCCTCTCCGTCTCCCTCTGCCTAACACTCTCCCTGCTTGTGCCCTCTTTATCTCTCTCTGTCAAATAAATAAATAAAATCTTAAAAGAGAGAGAGAGAGAAAAACAGCTGATGAATACTTAGGGTCCAAATGATTTGGGTACTATGAATTTGTCCTAGCAGCAATCTATAAGATTATGTGATTTCTGCCAGCAATGCTCAGTAGCTGAGATAAAAGAATAAAGGAATATTAACAACTGAACTATTAGGAGTAGGACTTTCCTAAACATAAGGTCAATGGAGCTAGCAAGAACTAAAACGGCAGATCATGCTGATTACACCAGATTCAGAATAAAGTGAAATAAGAAGGGGGTTAAGAACTTTAGCAAAAAAAAAAAAACCCAAAACGGTCAAAGAACTAAAAGGTTGAGAGCCAAAGACCAAGCATTGTGAGAATAAAGAAGTGAGAAAGTTATTGTTCTATCATAGTCCAACACCTCAGAGGTGGAGAATACAGCCATGGGGGCTGGTAAAGTGGAACGGAGGTGAAAGCTGATAGAGTTGAGATCAGGGAATTAGAAGGCTGGGCTACTGATTACTTAATTAATATAAGGACAGCAAAGATATACAGGATGACAAGGCTTAGAAGTGAGAAAAAAGAATGATAAATACTGAGGGAGGTTTCAACCTCAAAGTAGAAAGGATTTTGACCACAAGATAGAAAAAAAAATTGTAAGAATAAGCTTAACAATTCTTCCCTTGAATTATATGGTAAGCAGAGTGAGAGGGAGAGACCACATTTGCCCCAAATGCTAAATCTTAGTATCTAGCATAATGCCTGGCACATTACCAGTTCTTAACTGATTCAATAAAAGAAGGAATGAAACAAGTATGACCAATCTGTTAACCACAAGCCTTTAGCCAAACAATCTAAAATTTACAGTGTGGGCTAAACTAATGCCATGGGCAACAGTACTTTGCTTCCAGGGTCCATCTTTGTTGCAACTGGTAGGAAAGAGAGTCTTTTCCTCAACATTCCACCCTGAGAAAATACCCAAGTAGTACCATTCTTGTAAAAAAAAAAAAAAATCCCAGAAGAACTGAAAAATTCAGACAAACTGTCCAGATGTAAACACCATTTAAAATAAAGAGACATGTGCGGGGCGCCTGGGTGGCTCAGTGGGTTAAAGCCTCTGCCTTTGGTTCAGGTCATGATCCCAGGGTCCCGGGATTGAGCCCCGCAGCATCGGGCTCTCTGCTCAGCGGGAAGCCTGCTTCCTCCTCTCTCTCTGCCTGCCTCTCTGCCTACTTGTGATCTCTCTGTGTCAAATAAATAAATAAAATTAAAAAAAAAAAAAAAAAGAGAGAGACATGTGGCTCTACTCTGATTTCATCTTCAAGGCTGGAAAAAGACATGTTCTTACCACATACCGAGTTCAAGAGGGTTAATAATAATAAAATCAGAATAAAGAAGCTCGAAGGCAGCACACCGTCATCTTATCTAGTTAGGAATTAAAATTCTGGACTTAACCCTAGCACCTCTTCACTTGCATTATTTATACTGTGAGCTTGTTTTCAGGGACAGCAAGGAAAACATTAAACAGCATCTGACTCTCTAGCCACGCTTGGGGGAAAAAAAACCCTGAGACTGGGAGGGAGCGGTAACTAAGCACATGAAGAGGCAAGCAAGTTAGGTCTTAGATACCTGGGGCCAAAAAGGACGTCTAACATTTAGCAATAATTAAGTCTATGGATTTCCCATTACACTGTGCCTATCCACCATCAGTGGAAAAACAACACCCTCTTCTTTTCATTTAAGGTGCCCATGCCAGAAACATATTTGACTCAAGACAGAATTGTGACTAATTATGGTCAGCCTTGATTATAAAATATATCAAAAGGAATAAATTAACCTAAGAATCTTGACCAGTACTTCTTTCAACATTTCTAGGGGAAGCATTATTATATTATCTCCATCATTAATCTCAAATGATTCCAATGGGAAAGCCAGACAGCAGATTAATACTGACTTATTAATATAGAAAGTAAAGTTCAGAATATCTAAACTGCTTCTTTTAAGACAATCACCAGGGGTGATTTCAGCTGGCTCAGTCAGAACAGCATGTGACTCTTAATCTTGGGTCATGAGTTCAAGCCCCAAATTGGGTGTAGAGATTACTTAAATAAACAAACAAACAAATTTAAAAAAAAAAAAAGACAATCACCAATAAAGTTGTGGTCATATTTATTCCTCAGCTTTTAAATTACTAAGTCATATATAATGCTTAAGTAAAAATAAGGAAGATAAAGACTGAAGTATTACAAACCTTGTAATTTTTGTTAAAAGTCGTTTTGTCTTTTTTTTTTTTTAAAGATTTTATTTATTTATTTGACAGAGATCAAAAGCAGGCAGAGAGGCAGGCAGAGAGAGAGGAGGAAGCAGGCTCCCTGCTGAGCAGAGAGCCCAATGTGGGGCTCCATCCCAGGACTCTGAGATCATGACCTGAGCCGAAGGCAGCGGTTTAACCCACTGAGCCACCCAGGCGCCCCTTGATTTTCTTTTAATACAGTTTTCTACTAAGACTTGTTTTAAGACAGTGTGATCTTTCCAGAAATTAATCCCAAACAAAAAGAACAAGAAACCAAACACACATAACCCATTTTCAATAAAACTAGGAAATGCATTTAACTCCACACATCAGGAGGTAAAGAAAACAGAGTGGGATAAAGCAATGGTACATGACTCAGTGGAGTAGAATATGATCAAACCTAAATGCCTGCACAGAGAACTCAAAAGAAGTTGATTCCATCTATAGAACCCTAGTAGGTTCAAAAATTGGAGACAAAAATAAAAAGCAAGAAAGGAAAAAAAAAAGTCATTAGGGACTGCAGAAGGCAGGAGGTAGAGGACTAAAAATAGGTAGATTACTAGCACTTGGAAAGGGGTACTCTCCAAGAAAAAAAAAAAAGAGTGAAATATCAGATACAGAGTGAAGTGCTAAAGTAAAAACTTGACTTCAGTGAAGGTCTGCGTATTGGAAGGTTAAGATCTTCATCTCTTCTCTCCCATCCAGCTCCAGGATGCTTTTTCTATGCAAAAGAATAGAGGATCTTTGTCAGCACCAACTGACTACAGAAAATGGTATTTGGAGGTTCTCAGTCAATTGCCAGCTAACCACATGCCTTCCTACACAGATGGAACTTCTGATCAGCTTTTCAGAGTTTCACTCTTAAATATCAATAATCAGTAAAGGACACCAGGCATCTAAAGAAGACCTTTGACATGGAAGAAAGAGACTAAATCATACTTAAAGAAAACAGGAACTTAGAAAAGAAATCTAATGCCTAGAAAAAAAGGACATTTCAAAGAATTATCATTAATACCCTCAGAGGAATAAGATAAGGTAATGTACTCATAAAACAGTTGCTATAAAAAGAAAAAGTCAGTTAAGTGTCTACCTTCAGCTTGGGTTTATGACCTCAGGGTCCTGGGACTAATCCCCATGTCAGGCTCCCTGCTCGGCTAAGAGTCTGCTTCTCCCTCTCCCTCTGATACTCTGCCCCACTTGTGCTCCATCTCAAATAAATAGAAAATCTTTTTAAAAAAATAAATAAAAGAAAAAGAAAAAATGGCAAAGTTCCGAGGAACCACAAATATCATAGCTTAAAAAAATCAGTAAAAGGATTAGAAAACAAATTTCTAGAAAAATCTCAGAAAGTAAACAAAAAGACAAAGAAGCAGACAAATGGAAAAGATAAGAAAAATAGATGATCAGTCCAGGAGGTCCAATATCCAACTAACTATAAATCCAAGAAGAGAAAATAGTAGAGGGTGAAATTATCAGAGATCATATAAGAAAACCTCCCACAGATTAAAGGACTGGAACTCTCAAGATGCAAAGAGTAAAAATAAAGAAAATAATAAGAACCCAAAGGAAGATAAATACACCACTGTAGAAAATTTAGAACAGAAACTAAAGAAAATTTTAGATATTTTAAAAGAAAAATAGATCTCTAGGGACACCTGTGTGGCTCAGTGCATTAAGTGCCTGCCTTTGGCTCAGGTCATGATCCCAGGGTCCTGGAACTGAGTCCCACATCTGGCTCCTTGCTCATCGGGGAACCTGCTTTTCCCTCTGCCTGCCCCTCCCCCTGCTTGTGCTCTCTTCCCCAGCCCTGACAAATAAATAAATAAAATCTTTTCTTTTTAAAAGACATTAAATATACAAATAAATAAATAAATAAATAAGAAAAATAGATCTCTAAAGAAATGGGAATTGGGAGTGCCTGGGGGGCTCAGACAGTTAAGTGTCTGCCTTTGGCTCAGGAAGCCACTGGTAGATGGTCACCACAAGAGGGAACAAGGGAATAAACTATGATAAAGGAAGATATGGGATCCAGGACACAAAGAATCCAACACTGATGGAGCCAAGGGGATTCCAAGGACTGTGACCAAAGTCCAATAATGGCAGCTATGCCTCCAGAGCTACCAATACAGACAGGATTGGGGGACAGAAGGTTTTGATGGGATATCTACAGGAAAATAAATGGAACTGACAGACAACCTAGTAATTGGGACCATAGAACATTGACCTAAACAGAGTTGTTGGAAGGCATGAGAAGACAACAGTAGACTCAAAGAAAATGAAGCAAAATCAGAATATGGGGAGAAGGGAGGAAGAAGTAAAAGAGAATAGAGTGGAAATCAATACATATTTCAAAACTGCTGTATTAAGTGACAGCAGAACATGCCTATTACTTAGAAATGGAGACCAGAACAAAGAGCTAAAACAGTTACCTCAGAGGAAAATTAAAAGAGCTCTCCTCTCCATGTTCACTAAGCAGAAAACACGAATACCAATAATGAAACATACCTCACATTCTAAGAGGACTTGTAGTATTGTGTTAGAAATAGATTTTCTTGACTGAGAATTTTAGGCCAAAATGTGGATTTTATAGCAGTTAACAATAAAGTTGGGGAGGGATGCCTGGCTGGCTCAGTGGAGCATGCAATTCTTGATCTCAGGGTCATGGAGTTCACCCCCTATGCTGGGCATGGAGATACTTAAAAAAAAAAAAAAAAAAAAAAAAGGAAAAGGAAAAAGGACCAAAAAGGAGGGAAGGAATCACCTTTTTAAGCACCTTCATGGCAAATATTTTCCCAGTATTTGCTCCTGTTACTTTTCGTACTTGAAAAACCTGGATAAAAAATAAAAAAGTGTTTGTTACTATAAGCTAAACTAGGTTAGTCACACTCCCTTAATTCCTATTTATAAGAAACAGATACAACAGTTTATATTCTTACAAAAACTAGTAACACAAAGACTGTGCAAAAATGAAAAGCTGCAAGAGCAGACTATATTAAAGCTTTAGTAATGAAATCTGAGAAACATGGGACTGTTCTATTTGGTCTGCTGACATCTGGTGGCAAAGTCAGTCAGTGATCATCTAATAATGAGTAATCTATGTAACTTCATACACAAAATCCAAGTTTGCTTGGAAAAAGCTATAATCAGGGTTCCCAGAGGCAGAATACCAAAAGTAAAAATTATAAAATATTTTGTAAATTTCTTCTAGGAATGCCACTGTTCTTGCTTCACATAAAACTTTAATAATAGTTGACAGGAATTACTGTTTACCTATTCCTTAAAATGGCTAACTATATAAAACTTTATCATGCAATAGCTAAAACAATGTGAGACTCAAAGTGCATGTGTTCCACATTCAAGATGATTAGAACAAATCAGAATGTGTCCTTAAGCCTAAGAAGAAACTACAAATGTCATGCAATGAAAAAATTAACACTACACAGTAGCATAAATAGTTCTTAAACTTAACTACTAAAATGTTATCCAAATTCTACCTTTTGATAAAGAATAGCTAGGTATAAATTTTCCTGGGCAGCACACATAAAGATAAGGTCGTAAGTTAGAAAGACATGGGCAAAATATGAAGCTAAGCAGTTCTCCTCCTTTTTCTTCTCCCTTCAGCTTCCCTAACTCTAAAGCTCCAAATACTGCAAGTCAAAGAAAACCAATTCAGATTTAGATCTCAGTAACAATTAGCAATATGCCATGCCCATTAAGAGTAAGGAGTGGTTTGTTTTTTTAAGAGGATACCTATAGAGGATACCATTTAACCAAAAGAAGGAAGGATTCCTCTAATAACAGACTTTGACTGGCAACGTTGTCTATTTATTTATTCAACAAATATTGACTGAGTGCCTATTATGTGTCAGTCTTTTATGTTTATGTTGGGAGGAAGAGAACTTCTGTACATCCTCCAAATAATATCAGGTTAAGCAATCATATCCTTTGCTGATAGCTAGCAAAGACTGAAGAGGACTGCTGAACAAGTATATACAGGGCGAGGGGTTATGGGGGTAGGGAACAAAAAAATGAAACAAGATGGGACCAGGGAGGGAGACAAACCATAAGAGATTCTTAATCTCACAAAACAAACTGAGGGTTGCTGGGGGTGGGGGAGTAGGGATAGGGTGGCTGGGTTATGGACATTGGGGAGGGTATATGCTATGGTGAGTGCTGTGAAATGTGTAAGTCTGATGATTCAGACCTGTACCCCTGGGGCAAACAATACATTATATGTTAATAAAAATTTAAAAAAAATTAACCTATCCCCCACCAAAAATTAACCTACCCAAGACAGACAACAGCTCTTATTTCAAAAATACTTCCTACCTTTCCATAGCCCCCTTTACCAAGTACCCGAAGTAGCTCAAAACATTCTGGTCTGATTTTTTCTGGCCCTCTGTTCACACTAGTTTCCGAAATTTCAAATTTCTCACAATGTTCCATGCCACTAAGAAGAAAATTAAAACCAAAAGTAAATTCTCAAAAAGTTAAATTACCTTCCGTTTACTATAATTTAATCCAAATAAGTAAAAAGGAAAAGGTACATAACAACAAATTTACTATCTGGACTCTGAATAAACTAATGATTCAATGACAAGGTAAGTCAAGATTAGGATGACTTGATAATTGCTTATCTGCTTATTTACAGAATATGCTACTTATTTTTTGAAACATCGAGCACCCCCAAACTAAGATAAATTAGAACAAGTTTATTGAGCAAGTTGACAAAGGAAAAAAGTCTTCTGGCTACTCATATTTAGTTCATTCAAAATGTCTAAGAGATTAGGTATTATCCAACTTCATTTAGCAACTTCAGAAAATCTGGGAACTTTGTAAAAGTACCTGATTAGTTCAAGTCTTTATGCTACAAAAATTCTTGCTAATAGAATGGATCCATGCACCTTTCCATATCTACTATTAGCTTGCTTTAAAGATTCCAAAAGTGGCATTTAAGTGGCAATTGTCCCTTCACTGGTTTTTATATGAGAGATCTTGGTCTACCCCCATCCCATGGTTTTTACTTAAGTTTGGGGTATAGAGCAGATTAATCACCATTTTCACTTAACAGAGTTTGCCTAAGATGGCTTGAGATCTCTGTATGAATGACATATTACAAGCAAAACAAAAAACATTTGACTTTGAAGGCATTTCTAAAAATTTTATTTTTAAGTAAGAAAGTTGACTCTATTAACCTAGTAAAAATTTCTAACCCATTCAGACTCATATTCAGTCTAGTGTTAATCAGGATGAGTATCTTTCTCTTAAAATCTATATATGATCTCAAAACCTGGATATATTACTATATTAGAGCTAAACTCAATAAACCAAGTTTACATATATGACTAGATAATTAAGAACAATTTACTGGAATCACATGATGGCTACAAACTAGAACTTATAAAACCTACTTGTAAAGAAAGACAGCACAATGAAATCTTTTCATATAAACTTACAGTTCATATGGTCCAACTCCCCCATGGTCCATGCTTTCATTTAACTGACCCTGAAAAATACGTTAAAGTTGTAAAAATAAATAATCTCATAAACATAAAATCAAAATATGTAATGCTTCACCCTACTACTAAAAGAGAAATGAATGAAATAAACCAGCTTAAAAATTCTCTATACTTTAATAACAGGCAAATGTCATGATGAACAAAATAAGGTACACAGTACCACAGGGATTTCACTTTTAGTTTTCTATGACAGTTACGCTACTGATGCTACCCAATAATGATCTACAAAAAAAACTGGATGATAGCTCCTTTAAGAATTACATTTATTCAAAAGATAAATTTTGTGTATTGTGAAACTAAAGACACCAGACTTTAAGTATGAATTACTAAATCAAATTATTTACATAAAGTGCTATTCTGATATGATTCTGATACACAAGACTAACATAACATGTAACTACAACCTAACTAAGCCTATAGTAACCACAACTAGTCCAAGACACTGTACTGTATGATGTGGCTGATCAAAGCAAAATAATTAAGCATCACCCTCAAATTGTCAAGAGTCACGCTGGCTGAACATTTATTCTGACCACAGTATAGATCTAAATAAAAGACATTCCAAGTTCATGGATCTGACGACTTAATACTGTTTAAGATGGTTATACTAACCAAACTGGTATATAGGTTCAACACAATCCTATCAAAATCCCAGGTTTCTTTCTTACAGAAATTGACAAGCTGACCATAAAATTCATACAGAAATGCAAGGGACCCAAAATAGCTAGAACAATCTTGAAAAAAGGAGAACAAAGTTGGAGAACTGACATTTCCTTATTTTAAAATGTATTTACAACAAAGCAACACCAACGAAGGCAATGAGATACTGGGATAAGGACAGACATACAGATGAATGAAATAGAAATGAGTCCAGAAATAAACCCTTACATTATGGTTAACTAATTTTTGACAACGATGCCAAGAAAATTCAACGGGAAAGAGACAGTCTTTCAATAAATGGTGCTGGAACATTTGGATATCTACATGCAAAAAAATTACTTCAATTCCCTACTTCACACCATATTCCACCACACTAAAAAATTAACTTAAAATTCATCACAGGCCTGGGGTGCCTGGCTAGCACAGCTGGTTGGATGTCAGACTCTTGGTTTCTGCTCTGATAGTTATCTCAAGGTCGTGGGATTGAGCCCTACATCAGGCTCCACACTTAGCATGGAGTCTGCTTGGGATTCTCTCTCCCTCTCCCTCTGTCCTTTCCCGTTGCATGTACATACTCTCTCTCAAATAAATAAGTAAACCTTAAAAAAAAATTGATCATAAGCCTAAATATAAGATCTAAAACTACAAAACTCCTACAAGAAACCTAGAGTAATTCTTCATGATCTTGGGATAGGCAATGATTTCTTAAGACATATCACTAAGGTGCACCTGAGTGGCTCAGTCAATTAAGCATCTGCCTTTGCTTAGTCATGATCCCAGGGTCCTGGGATAGAGCTCCATGTCAGGCTCCCTGCTCAGCAGGGAGTCCGCTTGTCTCTCTGTCCCTGCCCCCACTTGTGCGTGTGTGCGTGTGTGTGTCTGTGCGCGCGCCTGTGCGCGCGTTCTCTCTCAGTCACTGTCTCTCTCTCAAATAAATAAAAAAAAATCTTTAAAAAAGACATATCATCAAAAGCACAAATGATTCAAGAAAAAAAAACAATAAACTGGACTTATTCAAAATGTAAAACTTTTGCACTTCAAAAGTTAAGAAAGTGAAAAGAAAACCCACAGAGTAAGAATATATAAAGAACTTCTACAACTCAAAAATTAAAAAATAACCCAACTTTTAAAAAGTATGTTAGAATCTGAACAGGTATTTCTCCAAACAAGATACACAAATGGTCAATAAGCACCTGAAAAAATGTTCAACATCATCAGCCATTACAGAAATGCAAATGCAAATCAAAATCACACTGAGATAACCCTTCATATCCACCAGGATGGCTATAATTAAAAAGACAGAAAAGTAAGTTGGGCAAGAAGCAGAGAAATTAGAATACTGGTAAACTACTGTCAGGAATATAAAATGGTACAACCTCTTTAATAGTTTGGCAGTTTCTTGAAAAATTAAACATAGACTTAACATATAACCCTGCAAATCTACTCATAGGTATCTACCCAAGAAAAATAAAAATATATGTTCCATAAAGAGTTGGGTACAAATGTTCTTAGCAGCATTATTCACAAGTCAAAAACTGGAACAACTGCAATGAGTATCAACTGGTGAACTCATAAATAAAATGTGGTTGACACATACAGTGGAATACAACTTGGTTCTATGTACATACTATGACATAGCTGATCTTCAAAAACGTCATGTTAAGTGAAAGAAGCCAGACACAAAGTCCACATACTAAATGATTCAATTTATATGGAATGTTCAGAAAAAGCAAATTTACAGAGATGGAAAGTAGACCACTGGTTACCTAGGGACAGAGTGGCAATAGTGACTCTAAATGGGCCCAGTTTCTTTTAAGGCGATAAAAATGTTTTAAAACTAAATTGCAGTGGTGGTTGTACAACTCTATAAATATACTAAACGTCACAGAATTGCCAAAAAAAAAAAACCTTGGCAGCAGAAATTCAGTTATGAATATTATAAAATATAGCTTTAAAATAAGTATTCTTGAATACAGTCTGGTTATGAGTCTTTCAATTTATACAAAAGGATATCTCTTAATTGGGCTCTCAATAATGATGTTTTTTTAAGTGCTGAATCACTAAATTGTATACCTAAAACTAGTATTACACTGTAGGCTGACTAACTGGAATTTAAGTACTTTTTAAAAACGGTAAGTTTTTAAGTTTTTATTGAACATTTTAGAGTAATTTATAAAATGTTTAGTTGAATATATCTTCCTTCAAAGGTACCAGTACACATTCAAGCTACACAAAGAAAACTGATAGTATTTTTTTTTTTTAAAGATTTTATTTATTTATTTGACAGACAGAGATCACAAGTAGGCAGAGAGGCAGGCAGAGAGAGAGAGAAGAGGAAGCAGGCTCCCTGCAGAGCAGACAGCCCGATGTGGGGCTTGATCCCAGGACCCTGGGATCATGACCTGGGCCAAAGGCAGAGGCTTCAACCCACTGAGCCACCCAGGTGCCCCAAAACTGATAGTATACTTAAACAAGGGATGCTTAAATGTCCCCCCAAAACTGTAAGTCTTCAGCCAAAATTTACTCATGGTGTGAACAAGTCAGGATGAAGGCTAATACTAGGCATGTATGTTTCAATGTTAGACTGAGCTAAATGGATGGGGCAATACCAAGGGGAAAAAAATTCTTGTAGTTTCAACTTGATACAGTTTCTTTTGGGGGGGTAGGAGTAGTTATGGTTAAAGGTTTTTTTGGTCTCCAGTATTTCACATTTAATAGCTTCACTTTAAAGACAAAAGACTAACTTCTCTCAAATGTGATAAAAGTAGTAATACATAACTGTTTTTACTTTAATGTTAGTTTTACTTAATTTTAAATTAAAGACCACAGGGTAGTTAACATTAAACCATGACTTTGAAGCCACCTAGAAAGATACGGCCTGTGGCTATAGTTAATTTCCGAAGCCAGCCAGGCCTGTATTACCACCTCTATCTGTGTTTATAACTTCCTACCGTTACCTTCTGGAGCAGAAGCATTTGAGGGACAATGCTTTTCTGTGGCCCACGTGACCTCTAGAAAAGTCTCACACCTGAAGCATCAGGCTAACATTATATAATACATAGACAACTCTTTCATAGGAAACTTTTCAGTTAGTTTTTTTTTCCTCCGCTTTAAGCTTTATGACTTTTTATGACTTAATACTTTTCTTCATGTGCTACTATGATTGCCAACATGAATCCTGCTCACCTAAGGAACTATTCAAGGTATGTTTCAAACCACCCACCAAACTATTTCCCAAGTTTTAAGTTAAAATTGTATATAAATTCAACTTAATATGCCTAAAATCCCAATCAAAGAGAGAACATTTCATAAAAATGTAAATAAGTTGTTACACAATGGGTGAAATATCCTTAATCCAGATATCCATTATATGGTTTATCGACTTGCCTGCTTGTCACAGACATTTCATTATAAAATAAGATTCAGTAAATCAATGAATTGGGAGAAAAGGAGTAAACCTTGCTCAAAATCTTGAGCTACTTAAAACTGCTTTATAATGCCTATTATAATGCAGGATAACTACTGATGTTTTTCTATAATTTTTCGTAACAGTGAATATTTGCTTTAGCACTATATTTTTCAAAGCAGTAAAAAATTTTAAACTTTTTGCTCAATAAAAATCTGATATCCCAATCTGAAACTCATGTAGTAAGCTTCTGTGACTACTTCAAATTTTGAATTAGTAGAGTAAAAATTAAGGATTAGTACTGTTTTTGTGTCTCTATAGAAAACAGAAGTTTACAACATCTTCAAAATCTAATGAAAATCTCTAGAGGAAAACTTTCCCTTAGTTTCAACTCGCTCTCCCCAAATTATACCATCACCAGTGAAAAACAAACAAAAAAGATCCAAACCCACCCATCCAGCCCTCTCCCAAAAAACACTCTTACCCATTGCTTTCTAATATAGTCTTTTGAGGTATTCAATCAGGGTCTTTTCTTAGTTAAGAGACATTCAGCTTTATCCATAAATGCTTTCATTTACTGTCCTCATGAGGACATCCTTTACTCACTGAAGAATTAACTATGCTGTATAAACATATATATTAGCTAATATAAATTTAGTCAGTGTAACATATCTAAAAAGGCATATATCTCTAACTAGGACCAATAATTTAAAAAACCCTAGTTTCAAAAATGCAGCACCTTTGGTATAACTGCATTTATCAAGTCTCTAGGCAAAAACGAGGGTAAACTTGAATGTTTCGTTTTTTGACAATGAGTAAGACTGACAAGCTGCATTTCCATGAACAAGATAACTGCTTAATATGCCAGAATATTTTAAGAGGACAATATTTTACATACTTTAACTCACATAATCCTCATCTTACAGAGAAGAAAAAAGTGTCAGATTAAGCAATTTATTCTAAGTCATACAGTCAAGGCACCTGGGTGGCTCAGTCAGTTAAGCGCCTGCCTTTAGCTCAGGTCATGATTCCAGAGTCCTGGGATAGAGCCCCATATTGGGCTCCCTGCTTGGCGGGGAGCCTGCTTCTCCCTCTGCCTGGTGCTCTGCCTGCTTGTGCTGTCTCTCTCTCACATAAGTTAAATCTTTAAAAAAAAAAAAAAAAAAAAAAGTCACACAGTCAGTGACAATGCCTAGAGGGATTTGAATTAACTTTTAACCCACCACAAAGAGGTACAGAATGAACAAGACAAGTAAATGCAATGAAGAAGCTGTGCAATGAAGCCTGCAGGCTGAATGGAATCAGAAGACACTACTAGTTAACTACTAGTTATCTATGTAGTCTTGAACAATCACCTCTCTGGTTTATGCCTCGGTTTCCTTGCTATACAATGACGAAGTGGGGCTTCTCTGAGACCAATGTTTTAAAAGCTTGTGTACTAAGTGTTGCATATTCACGACTACCCAGATTTTCCAAGATTCTAAACTTCTCTTGTTTTTCAGAATTTTTATATTTTGTTTTAGAGAAACCTGGATGTCACTGCATTTCCTCAAGTGGCCAACCCAATCCCATTCTCAACTCTTTTCATTTGTCTACCTTGAGGAATCTCTTGGAATAACACATTCAAAAGAAATATTTTCAACTCCAAAAGCACTGCTAAGTAAGATATATTCTACTGAAGGCTCTTCCTCAAAATCCTCTTTACCTTTGCTTTTTCTCCGAAGTTCCCCTCCCCAGGGTAGTGGTCATATTTCTTTCTCTTTCATATTTCTACCAATTTCTCTGGCCTCCTCTTCCACACTCTCTCAAAACCTGTTTGCTCATACCCAACAAAATGAATGTACAGGAGCAGTCCAAAACACATCTCAAGGAGATCCCATTTCATAACAGAAATCTTAATACAGTGTTTTACTTTCAACTGCTTTAACATCTCCTGAATTACCCAGTTTTCTCCCTTGCCCCAATCCAAAGCCGCTGCCATATGGAGCCAATATAATTAATGAGAGTATGCAATACATAGTGAAAGTAATTCCGTATCTGTTTCAAATTGTATGTAGTGTATCAGGTATTAAGAGGCTACCTGGAATTCTGCAGGCAAACATACTAACAAGTATACAACTCAATACCCACCTTACAAACTGTGATTTTTATTTAGACTCATTTCATTATGAAAAGACAATATTATTTCAGCCCACTTAGTTTCTTACAATGTTCAAAGCTCTTTTTTTTATAGCATCTCAATCTTTTGGCAACAAGCAGGGAACAACTTACTTTCCAGGAGAGGAAAATCAGGTGAGGAAAAGGGAAGTTTCTTACATAGAGCAAATATCTGACACCAGTCCTTAACTCATATGCTCACCTAGACAGTGGGATTTAAAATCTAAATTATCATGAGGTTACCACGGGTGATCATTTGCCCAGAATCAGTGACTTAGTATGACAACAGTATTTTTGAACTTCAAGTGCAATTTGTGATTTTTCAATAACTTTATCTTGAAAAAAGAATGGTATTCCATAAAGAATAACAAACTATTAAGACAGCAAAGGTAAAACCAAGCTATGCATTAGGAAAAAACAAATCTAAATTTAGTACCCTAAATTACAGCAAGGAAAGCCCTCACACCACCATTCACAAGTCTCAGTACAAGCAATTTATTTTTGGCAAGCCAAATCACAGCTGTCAACGCTGGTTTTTTTCCACCCCCAAATTACACAAAGTATTTTGAAAAAATGTAGACATCTTCAACTAGGGAAAACTTACAAATACCGTGTGCCATTATAAATGATTTAAGAAAAAAAAAAAAGTCACACGGAAGAGGGTGTTTAAAAAAAAAAAAAAGCAAACAAACAAACCCTGGAAGATGCAGCAGAGCCCCCTTGCTCCCGAAATAAAACTCCTGGTGGCTGTAACAGCAGCGGCAGCGCTACTCCCGACAGAAGTTTTCAGCTGTCACTTCTAACAGCTGAGCGCTTCCTAGGAGAGAAGCGACAGGCCGAGAAGAGAGGTGGTTGTGGGAGGTCTGAAGATTTAATACTTGAAAACTTACACTCGAAGGGAAACCCTTCCGCACTTCACCTGCACTTAAGGGACACCCAGAAAGCGCAGTCCCCCCTCCCCCCAACACGCGCTTACACCACTCGCGCCCCGCCACACTCAAGTTCAACAGCTCGAGGAATCGACCACGCGCCCTTTCTCGTTCCCTCCACAAATAGACTGCTCCGGGTTGCGCTGATCTGGGGCTACAGGCGCGACCTGCACCTGCGAGCCCCGAAGCGGCCTCACACCTAGGGCCAGGTCCGCCCCACCCGCTCCCCTACCTCGGACCGCGCGGCGCCTACACTCCTCCTGGAGACTACTCGCGCCCCCCCTTCCCCGGGTCTCCGAGCTCTCCGACGCGCCGGGCTTCCAGGGCCCGCGCCGCCGCCCTGGCCCTGTCACCTCGGGCCCCCCGGGACCCCGGGCCTCACCCCCTCCTCCAGCTCATCCTCAGAGCCCGCGTCCTCTGGCTGGTCCAGGTCTATGTCAAATACTCCTGCCATGTCCTCAGCTTCCCTGTCTCGGAAGTCCGGCGCTGGGTAAAAGCCGTCCCGCCTCCGTCGTCGCCTCATGGGCCCGGACCCGCCGCAGCCACCGCCGCTGCTGCCGCCATCACCGGCTGCTTGGGCTCAGTGCGTCTGCGCTTAGGCCCTAGACTGGCTCCTCAAGTTCAGCGCTAGAGCATGCGTACAAGGTTGTGTGAAGCCGAACTGTGGGCAATGAACATGCGTAGAGCTATCGCCTGGAGCCAGGTACTGGCAGAAACATGCGCAGAACCCCGACCGAAGCCCCTTGAGGTAGCTAGATCATGCGCATTGTCGGCTAAAGCTTTGATGGACAATGAGCATGCGTACCTATTCTGAAGTTGATAAATTGAAATTGAACATGCGTAATTAACCTTTCTGAATAGGAAAAAAAAAAAACAACAACCAACAAAACTCTTCGTTTGTGAACATGCGCATTCGTCCTCCGTAGTTTTTTTTTTTTTTTAATTGACAGTGAGCATGCGCATGATGAGGGGGTTGGCCCTCTGAAGTTTGAACAGGACGGAAACGGCTGGTTCTGGGTCTATCAGTGAGTGGGGTTTATGGGGAGCTCCTGGGGCTAGTGGAGAAAGGGGGAAACTTGGTTTTGCTGTTCTATTTCAGTGGCCTTGTGAAAGTCACATAACCTTTCAGAGTCTCAGTTTCCTTATCTATTATATGAGAATACCTAGTTTGCCGGGTTATTGGGAAAATTGTAAGTACAGTCTGGCTCGAAAGCCACTATCCACTGTTCTTTCCAGTGCTGCAAAGACCTGGTGTGAGGTCTTTACCAAAAATTCTCTTTTCATTGTTAAAAATAGTGAAAGCTCGGTCTCCTATTTCATCTAGTCCTCCCTTTCCAAGCTTTGTCTTCCTTGCTCTTTACCTGAGCTAAACGCACATATTTCTTGTGTTACTGTAGTTACCAGGACAGAAGGTGATTGGTAGAGAGAGAAAGTTATTAGTTAGAAGACAGAAAATTAAAGTTAATTAAACGTACAATTGTTGAGCTAACTTCTGTGTTCTGTGTGAAGTGTAGTTGAAGTTGAACTAGGAATTCCTTCAATTAGCATTCATTTCGTTTTGTTTTGTTTTGTTTTAAATGCATGCTTGGGGACACAGTGACTACAAATCAGATTTCAGTAACTATTGAGAAGTCTTTGAATGCATTTGGGTACAGTAAATTCCAAATCCCAAAACCATGTAGAGAAAGAAAACAACTTCCTTGAATGATTAGTTCCTTAGACAACGTAACTATTTCATCTATAACACCATATGTATGGCATTTTTAAGTTATATTTTTATCGATGTACATATGATATTTTATTTGTTCCTTGGTTATTAGTACTGTAGTGGTTCTCAAAGCCTGTATTTTTCTATTACAGGTTGCTCACTTTTTTGAGGGAATAGGCCTAGTTTGCCTCTCAGCATGTCAGTAGTAACAGTGCAACTTGGTCAGTGTGGTAATCAGATTGGTTTTGAAGTATTTGATGCTCTATATACTGACTCACACTGTCCCCAGGGACTCTGCTCTAAAAGAGAGAATGAGGCATATCAAGCATCTTGCAAAGAAAGATTCTTCAGTGAGGAGGAAAATGAAGGTATGTGTGATGCATCTTATTCCTCTCCCTTACTCTGACATCTCTTCAAGGCCACGTCCTCCGCATGGTGTCTGAACCCCAACTCTTCCCATTTTTCTAGGGAATGACTTTGCTCATAGCCCTTTGTTTCTGTGTTAACAACCTTTCCCTCTCTAGTGGCAACTTCCCCTCAGCACATGAGCATGCCCAGATCTCATCAACCTACCAAACAACATAGGACTAACTTCTTTTCTTTTTTCTCTTGTTTTGATTTGTTCTGTTTTGTTTTTTAAAGTCTTATTCCCTGGGGCACCTGGGTGGCTCAGTGGGTTAAGTGTCTGCCTTTGACTCAGATCATGATCCCAGAGTCCTGGGATGGAGCCCTACATCGGGCTCCCAGGTTAACAGGGAACTTGCTTCTCCCTCCTCTCTGCCTGCCACTCCCCCTGCTGGTGCTCTGTGTGTGTGTGTGTGTGTGTGTGTGTGTGTGTGTGTCAAATAAATAAAATCTTTAAGAAAAAAATTTTATTCCATTTTGGGTATATGCACTGCGGGGTGGTACATGGTGCAAGGATTTGGAATAAGCTTTGCAGTTTTATTTAAAGTAAACTCTACCCCCATCTTGGGGCTCGAACTCACAACCCCAAGATCAAGAGTTACATGCTCTACCAGCTGAGCCCATCAGGCACCCCAAACTTTTCTTTTCCTTCTTATCCTTTTACCTTCCTATCTAAGATTCTCAAAGGAGAACCCTCTTTACCCAACTACAGTCCTGCTTTAGCCCTACACCACCACTGAAGTCCTCAAAGAAAAGTTCCTAGGGGACTAGGGGGATGGGGTAACTGGGTGATGAACATTAAGGAGGGCATGTGGTGTAATGAGCACTGGGTATTATATAAGACTGATGAATCACAGATCTATACGTCTGAAACCAATAGTACATTATATGTTAATTTTTTTTAAAAAGTTCCTAGTGGGGAACCTGGTGGCTCGGTTGGTTAAGTGTCCAACTCTTGATTTCAGCTCAGGTCATGATCTCAGGATTATGAGATCAGGCCCTGCATTGGGCTCCATGCTGGGTGTGGAGCAAGCTTAATATTCTCTCTCTCCCTCTGCCTTTCCCCGCCTCTCTTAAAAAAAAAAAAAAAGTTCCTAGTAGTCTCCTAATTACTAGATTGTTGTGATTGTTTCTCTTTTCTCAATTCATTCCTGGATTTTATAACATTAACTATAAAACTTCCTCCTTGAGGGGTGCCTGGGTGGCTCAGTGAGTTAAGCCTCTGCCTTCAGCTCAGGTCATGATCTCAGGGTCTTGGGATCAAGCCCTGAATCCAGGCTCTCTGCTCAGCAGGGAGACTGCTTCTCCCTCCCTCTCTGCCTACTTGTGATCTCTCTCTCTCTGTCAAATAAATAAATTAAATATTTAAAAAAGAAACAGTAAAAACTCCCTCCTTGAAACTCCTCCTTAGTCTCTGAACTTTTCTTCTCCACTGGTTGCATCTCAGGCTATCTCTCCTCACTGGTATAATCCTCTCTGGTATAGTTCTCTCTGGCTAATTTCAGTTACTCTTGTAATTTGCCACTTCTTTGACACTAGTGATTCTCAAATCTGCAGCCTCTCTTCCAAGCTGCAGACTGATTAGTGGACATCTCCACCTGCATCCTCATGTGTATCTCAAACTCAACATCTCCATACCTTAGGGCATTCATTATTTTTTCATTTAGAACTTGGGCTCTTTCTGCCCACATACCATCAAACATAATGATCTGCTTACTTTACCTCCTACATATATCTCTTCTCCCCTTTCTATCTTCACTGCCGTTGGCTTAGTTCTGGCTCTTGTCCTCTCTCACCTAGATTATTTCAAGACATTCCTTCTATTTCCCTGCCTTAACTCTTGTGTCTGTCTCTTCCATACTGCTATATTTAACAAGTCATCTGATGGGGCACCTGGCTGGCTCAGTTGGTAGAGCTTGTGACTTTTGATAACAGCGTTGTGAATTCAAGCCCCACACTGGGTGTAGAGGTTACTTAAAAACTAAATTAGAGGTTACTTAAAAACTAAATTAGAGGCTCAGTCATTTAGCATCTGCCTTCAGCTCAGGTCATGATCCCAGGGTCCTGGGATGGAGCCCCGCATCAAGCTCCCTGCTTGGTGGGAAGCCTATTTCTCTCTCCCCCACTTCCCCCTGCTGGTGTTTCCTCTCTCGCCATCTCTCTCTGTCAAATAAATGAATAAAATCTTTTAAAAATTAATTAATTAATTAATTAATTAATTAATTAAAGGGATGCTTGGGTAACTCAGTTGTTAAGCGTCTGCCTTTGGCATTGGGTCATGATCCCAGGGTCCTGGGATCGAGTCCTGCATCAGGCTCTTTGCTCACTGTGGAACCTGCTTCTCCCTCTGCCTGTTCTGCCTGGTGCTCCCCCTCTTGTGCTCTTGCTTTCTCTCTCTCTCTCTGACAAATAAATAAATAAAATCTTAAAAAAAAATTAAAAAGATTAAAAGTCATATGACAATTCCTCACTTGCTTGAACATTTGTAGTTTCACAGTATTTTAAAGATAAATTTTTAAGCTTTTTAGCACTGCATACCAGGACTTCCAAGATTTGAGCCCTGCCTGCGTTGCATCCCCATTCATCAGTCCCTGTACTCCCTCCTTCTCTGTCTTCTGTTTCAACAATCCTGAGCTGCTTTCTGTGCCCATGCTATTTTATACATCTGAATGTGCTACTCTGTTAATGTGGATTCATTGTGGGTCATATCACATCACACTGAGATTAAGTTTTATCTCTTCCACCAGTCCTTCTAGGGCTAGACTGATGTTGTCTTCATCTCTGTGTTCCCAGCACTGTACATGGGACATTGTAAGCTCTTAACAGATGTTTGTAGACCTGACCCAGTGATCATTTTAGCCTACACTGATCCATTCTACTTAGTAGAATGCTAGGCATTATGAACCATCTGCATATACCTGCTACTGCCCACCTTAATTTCTTTTTTTTTTTTTTAAAGGTTTATTTATTTGACAGAGAGAGAGATCACGAGTAGGCAGAGAGGCAGGCAGAGAGAGAGGGGGAAGCAGGCTCCCTGCTGAGCAGAGAGCCTAATGCGGGGCTTGATCCCAGGACCCTGAGATCATGACCTGAGCTGAAGGCAGAGGCTTAATCCACTGAGCCACCCAGGTGCCCCTGCCCACCTTAATTTCTAAGCAGTATGACAGATCTCTCTATCCTTAATCTTTGGATTTTTTTTTTTCTTTTTTTTTTTGGACCTAGAAATTTGTGCTCTGAAATAACCCAAATAAGACGTGAAATATTTTTCTTTTGGTCTTTTTCCTCACTCTAGTTCCAATTGCCCGGGCCATACTTGTCGATATGGAACCTAAAGTTACCAATCAGACACTATCAAAGGCTGCCCAGTCTGGCCGATGGAAATATGGTCAGCATTCGTGCTTCTGTCAAAAACAAGGCTCTGGAAACAACTGGGCATATGGGTAAGAGTAATTCCTCATGATTTTTGGTTTAGATACAGCTACCC